AAAAAAAAAAAAAAAAAAAAAAGAGTTGCTGTGGTCATGGTGTCTCTTCATCTCTTCATAGCAATAGAAACCCTAACTAAGACACTTCATTTTGATAACTATATCTCATAAACTAGAATTAAAATTTGTTTCTCGCCATTGAAATTTTCAGGTCTCAGCACTGACTATAACCACCCAGAGCACAGTAAGGCTGGTCCCCAGAGAAAGGAGGAAATCGGGGCACCTCTCCAGCTTGACATCTGTCTGTAACTCGGCAGCTTCAGGTACCGAAAATTCTTTCATCTGTGGTTTGTATTCCTCCAGAGGAGCTAAAAGTGATACCAGGTCATCCTGTACAAAACCAAAAAAACAGTAACTCAATATGACACATATTCAACATAGTTAAAAATCTCCTATCAAGCCGGGCGGTGACGACGCACGCCTTTAATCTCAGCACTTGGGAGGCAGAGGCAGGCGGAGTTTTGAGGTCAGCCTGGACTACAGAATGAGTTCCAGGAAAGGCGCAAAGCTACACAGAGAAACCCTGTCTCAAAAAACCAAATAAATAAATAAATAAACAAATAAACAAAAACAAACAAACAAATAAATAAATAAAAAATTTAAAAAATCTCCTATCACTCTATTAACATGATTGTGTAAGGCAGATGGGAACTAAATGGTGTCTTTCCCCTCCACTGGGCCTTTCCCTGTTCCCCAACTGGAGCTGTCACACCAGCCCCCCTCTAAACTCAGTTCATGAAGGAGAGCTGGAGTGAGAACAATGGGCTGTGTCTCCAGTAGAGGGTGGATGCCACCAGTCACCATGTGGAAGGAGAAATAAAGAGCAGCAGAGAAGCAAGTGAACTCTGTTCCCCGTGGAGGGAAAGGAAGCAGACGCCAGATCCAGAAGGCACCAACCATGGTCCTCACCAGCTCAAACCCAGTGGAGGATGTGGGTGAAGCTGCGACTTTTCTATGGACAGGCCAGTTAGTGATGAAGAGAAATCGTGTGATTGTCACTACATGAAGCATGGAAAGGCAAGGCAACATGACTCCTTCAACAGATCAGAGCCCCTTAGGCAGAAATCAAAGATAGTCAGATGTGTAGACTATCAGAAGATTGTAACAGTTTTCTGGTAAAAATGATTGATGACCTGAAAAAGAACATGAATGAGCAGATGAGTTCTACCACAGCTCACAGGAAGTAGTTAGCAAGATGGCCGAGAAAGTCGGATGTACAACTCAGTAAGGAAGTTGAGTTTTTTTTCTTCCACTAGAAAACACTGAGTGAGGCTTGATAAACATTTTCAGCAAATTATCAGGATATAAAATCAACATGTAAAACTCAGTAGCTTTCCTACATGCCAATAACTAGCCAAGAAAGAATTAAGTAAGAAAAAAAATTCGTTCATAATTGCTTAAAAGACAAAATACCTAAAAATAAACCCAACAAAGGAGATTAAGAGTTTTCTAAGGAAAGAAAGACCCAGAAGAAAGGAATTGCTCATGATTGGCAAATTTAACATTATGAAACTGGTATATCACCAAAAGTGACCTACAGATTCAATACGATCCACATCAAAATTCCAATGTCATTCATCACAGTATTAGAATAAACTGCTAAAATTCATATGGGCCCCCAATAAACAAAGCAATCCTTAGAAAAATCCCCAAAGTATTACAATGACTAATCTCAATTTCTATTATAGAATCATATTAACAAAACCAACATTATGTTGGCATAGACACAGACATATGAGATCTGGAGAAATGCCTCAATAGTTAAGAGAACTTGCTGCTCTTGTAAAGGACCCAGGCTTAGGTCCGAGCAGCCACAGGGTAGCTTATAACTATCAACTCCAGGTCTGTGTAAGCCAATGTGCCCAATGTGGGGGGAACTACATGTGGTGCCCTTAGATGTGGGCAAAACACCCACACACATAAAAATAAATAGTTAGAACACAAATATGTGAAACAATGGACTAGAATACAGGATGCACATATAAACCCAAGCACTTAAACCTACTTTTTTTTTTTTTTATGAAGTTGACAAAAACACACACTGGAGAAAAGACAGCCCCTGACCAATGGTGCTCAGAGCAATGGATCCACATGCAGAAGCCATGTATTAAGATCCACATATCTCACTCAACACAATCATCAATTCAAAACAAATCAAAGGGCTTAGTGAAAAACTGTAAAATGTTTAAGAAAATCCTTCAAAGCCATGTTAGTATTAATATGGATTTTCTTTCCACAAAGGACTCTAGTACTAAAGAAAATAATAGATGTGTAGAAATTGGGACTGTGTGCTATTAGAATTGTGAACAGTGAAGAAGGCAGAGTGAAGAGACAGCCTACAGAAAGTTTAAAACAATTTTTGCCAACTATGCATTGGCATTGACTTAATATCTGGGATATATAAAGAACTGCAAAAATTAAACATCAACAAACCAATCATTGCTGTGGAATGTTATTCTGTATGCTGTGAATATGTGTTGCTCTGATTGGTTGATAAGTAAAATGCTGACTGGTCAATAGCCAGGCAGGAAGTGCAGGTGGGATAAGCAAACAAGGAGAATTCTGGAAAGAGGAAGGCTGAGTTAGGAGGTGCCAGGCAGACACAGAGGAAGCAAGATGACAAGGCAGAACTGAGAAAAGGTACCAAGCCAAATGGCTAAACATAAATAAGAATTATGGGTTAATTTAAGTGTAAGAGCTAGTCAGTAATAAGCTTGAGCTAATGGCCGAGCAGTTATAATTAATATTAAGCCTCTGTGTGATTATTATATAAAAGGCTTTGGGACTGTGGGTGAGAGCTTTGTCCCAACCACAGGCCGGGAAGGACACAGGAAAACTTCCAACTACAAATCATCAACTCTATCAATAGACTGATGAACTGAGTAGATAGTTCTCAAAAGAAGACATACAAATGACCAATAGACTCTTGGAAATGTGCTCAATATTCTTAGCTGAGATGGCTGGTTTTTCATTGTCAGCCTGACTTCATTCAGAAGCATCACGGGAACACAGCTCTACCTGTCAATGGTGTCTCAGATAGGTGGGAAGGCCAACACTGAATGTGGGCATCATCCTCCTGCGGATTGGAATTTCAGGATAACTGAGTTGGAGAAAGAAAACTGAGATCCAACCTTCATTCCTGAGCTTTCTGACAGTTGATACAATGTGACCAGCTCACTCACATTCTTGTTGCCATGGCTTCTACCATGGTGGGCTAGCCTCAACCATGGTGAGCTAGCCTCAGACCAGGGGCTGATATTAACCTTTCTCCATTTAGTTGTCTCTGTCAGGTATTTGTCTACAGCAATCAGGACAGTGATATTAAAACTACTTTTGAGATTCCATCTCAGCTTGTCAGAATGGCCATCCTTGAGGACAGTCAACAATGGTGAGGATGTGGAGGCTGCTGTCATCCTGATAGGAATGTAAATGGGGAGCCCCTAAAGAAATCAGCATCAAGGTTTTTATAAAATGAAAGACACAACCACATAGGATCCAGCTATGCCCACTCCTGGGTATACACCCTCAAGCTCTAAGAGAAAACCACCAAGATATTTGCATTGATTTCTTCACTATTTATGGTAGCCAGGGAATTGAACCTGCCTAGATCTCCATCATAAGATTAATGTATAAAAATGTGGTACTATGCCAATGGGAATTTGTATAGCCATAAAGAAAAATGAAATCATGTCATTTGCAGGAAATGGGATTAAATTAGAAGTCGCTATGTTAAAGAAATAACCCAAACTCAGACAAAACTTCATGTTTTCTCTTATGTATGAATTGTAGATTTAAAATTCATAGATATTTGTGTCTATATAGAAAGGGAGCTAAAAGAAGGTTGGAATTAAGTATAACTTAATACATGTGGTAAGAGAGCAGAAAGGGGACTGGTTGGGGAAAATAAAGGAGCCAGGAACACAGTGGAATCAGGAGAGTGGAATGAAGGAGAAGAAAAATGAGAAAACAATGTAATGTCACTTATGCATGAAGATACCATGACTAAAACATATTTGCTTACCCACCCAAGAAAATAACAGTAAGGGATAATCTCAAGGCCTTGAGGTGTCAGGCAGCAGGAGACAGCCTTCTCACCAAGTTTGGGACTCTAGTTTGATATACACAATGTATGCAATGACGAACTGATATACAGACACCCGTGTCAGCATACTGCCGATAAGACTGCTTTTCTTGTGCTACAATTCCATTTTAAAAGCACTACAATCACACAGCGTATTCCTATATAAGGGGAGGAGATAGATGCAGGTGGTATGAAGGGAGAGAGGGAGATAATTGATCAAAAAGGGTTACGTGGGGGTATGGGATGGGAGGGTAGAGCAGAGGAAGGGAGTAGAGCAAGGATGCAAAGACTCTTGAAGAAGCATGGAAGCCTGCTGTGGAAGTGTCTTCCAATGTACACACTTAAAAAGACTCTAACCTGTTACTGTACAAAGGAGGAGAGCAATACCTCTCTCAGACAGCACAGACTGCCAAGTGAAAAGTTCAGTGCCAAGAATGGGTGCTCAGCAGGGCGGTGGTGGCGCACACCTTTAATCCCAGCACTTGGGAGGCAGAGGCAGGTGGATCTCTGTGAGTTCAAGGCCAGCCTGGGCTACAGAGCGAGTTCCAGGAAAGGGTGCAAAGCTACACAGAGAAACCCTGTCTTGAAAAACAAAACAACAACAAAAAAAAAAAAAAAAAAAAAAAAGAATGGGTACTCTCTCTGAGTTGTTGGCCAGTGGGATCATCAACAGTCTTATCCAGCTGTGAACCCTGCAAGCTACAATGATGAGTGGCCTGGCCAGATGTGCTTACAGGCACAACAGTGGCATGGATGTTACTGGAGTAACCAACCACCTCTTGGTTGGATTTAAGGCCCATTTCACAGGAAGGAACTCAGGCCTCACACTGCTAATGGAGCCAAGAACCTGAGGGGACCCTGCAGGTGTCCAGGTAGAGAAGGGAACCACAGAGAGGGAGAATGAAAACTCAGTTTAGATTGACTTCGCCAACCTGGATCAGACTTGGGGAGTCTGATGCCAGGTGGTTCACTGTCAGCATATTTAAAACATAGGACATTTTGGGGAAAAGTTTCCAGGCAACAACCATTCCCATCCCAGGTTTCCAGGCAACAACCAGTTCAATTCTAGGTGCACAATAAAACTTAAGTGTGACGACTTAGAAATTTCTTTACAAAGTACATGTGACCACGATGGTGGGTTCTGTAGCTAAAGGGCCTAGAATCTAGTGTGGTCTCTGACTGAGACAGCATAGAGGCCAGCAGGCTATAAAGTACATGTGATATTCCTCCAAAGGATGGGTTCTATTAACTGGGAGCTGGAGAGTGAGAGTCAGATAAGCATTCTGGGGGATGTGAGTGAGGTCTGCTTCTTCAGCAATAGGTGGGTGAGGTCTGCCTCCACAGAGAGCAAAGAGGTCACCGGGTTGTTAACTCCTCCTCTTCCTCTCTCTCTCTTCTGCTTTTCCTCCCACAAGGAGTGTTCGCTCTCGCTCTCGCTCTCCTATCTTTCTCTTCTGGGCAGGAAAACAGGTATTTTATCTTCCCCATTGAGGAGAGGCACCTGAATGTTTAACATTCCTGGTTTCTCTAGTGATCTGTGGGCAAAAAGACCTTGTCTTAGGTTCTTTTTGGAGGTAGAACCTAAGGCAATGTAGATCATAGGCCCGAGAGGGAAAGTCTATCACTGTTACTTGGCTAAATTATTAAAATGACTCCTAAAGATGTATCATTATACCCATAAAATGGTGCATCTTTCAACCCTTATCAGAGAAGCTTCCTTTTGCAGCAGATGGTGATTAGCACAGAGACCCACAGCTGGTCAACGGTTAGAACTCAAGAGACTGCAGAGTCTCAGCCCTCATGGGACATCCATACCACATCCCATCCTCCCAAGGTTGATGAGAGCCAGGGGCAGTGGGGACTATAACAGGGCAGTTTCAGTGTGAATTTATAGTGGCTGTGACCATGTGCATAAGGCCTAAGCAAGATGTAGTCACACAAAAGCTCAGCATAGAGGGGTGAGGGAGTCAGGAATGATTGGCACCTGATAACGCTGGGAGAGGGAGAGTGGGTTTTCTTCGGGGATGCAGCCCTGAGAGGCCGCCCATGTTCCAGTTGATGCTCCTACACCCATGCATATACTGGCAATGCTAAGTGGATTTCATGGGTTTTAAAGGAGAGAGAAAGGCAGGGTGGTGTTGGCGCATGCCTCTAATCGCGGCACTCGGGAGGCAAAGGTAGGTGAATCTCTGTGAGTTCGAGGCCAGCCTGGTCTACAAAGTGAGTTCCAGGACTGGCTCCAAAAGCTACACAGAGAAACTCTGTCCCCAAAAACGAGAGAGAGAGAGAGAGAGAGAGAGAGAGAGAGAGAGAGAGAGAGAGAGAGAGAGAACACATGAAATTAGGAGATAAAGGGGGTGGGAGGAGACAGGGAATAGGGAGGAACTGGAAGAGAAGGAATGAGAGGCGGACTTGATTAATTTTTGTTTAAAATTTGTGTTTAAAATTTCAGCATGTGAAATTGAGGCCAGACTGGTCTACATAGAGAGTTCTGGGCCAACCAGGGCTACACAGTGAGACCCTGTCTCAAAATTGTATTTTTTTTAAATGAAATTTAACATATAATCACTGGTGATGTAATTCCTTGATGGCATATTGCTTGTAAAATTACATCACAAAAACCCATATGCACATTCATTAATTTATATTTAAAAACATTCAAATGTGTCTTTCATACAAAATATATTCTAGGTTTTCCAGGCAACAAAGAAGTAAATTTCCATTTGTTTGTTTTTGAAATCGAGTCTCACTATGTGACCCTGGCTGACCTGGAACTTGTAATGTAGACCAGGCTGGACAGAGTCCCAGAGTCCCCCCTGCCTCAGCCTCCTGTGTGCCACCACTCCCGGCATAAGTAGGTCTCTTAACCTTTTGCACATGAAATGATAAAGAAGCATTAAGGTGTGATTTAAATAACAGAGTAAAAGGCTTCTGAAATGTGAAATGCTGAAATGAGATAAAGAAATTGGTTGTATATGTTTTTGAACACTGTAATAGAAATAAATATAGAAATCAAAGATTTACCATGGAGTTACTGTACCTCTGTTTTATGAATTGGTTATTATTGAGATAAAATATGTTATTCAGACTCAAACATATTCCTTTAGAATATTTTTATTAATTCTTTGAGAATTTCAGACAATGTATTTTGGTCATCTCCATCGCCAACTCTTCCCTAGTTCCTCCCAGATCCAACCTTACCCCCAAACCCACACTTCATTAAAAAAAACACACACACACACACACACACACACACACACACACTAACTCTAACTTGTGCTACCCACATACTCCTGGGTATAAGGTAACCCACTGGAACATGTCTTACCAGGGGCCACATGCTTAAAGAATACTGACTCTCTCTTCCTCAGGAGCTATTAACTCTATTAACTATCAATAGATCCTTAGTTATGAGTTTGGGGCGGGGGGTGGATCATGAGCCCCTTCTCTCCCCCTGCTAGAATATTGACTGGCTAGATCTTGTGCAGGTCTTATCCAGACAGTCATTGCTGCTGGAGTTCATGAGTTCAGTCCTGTCATGTCTAGAAGTCAGTTTCACTCTGGTCCTCCCACACCTGTGGCTCCTAACTACCTGCTTCTGCACTGGCCCCTAAGCCTTGGGGACAGGGTGTGGTATGAGTGTCTCACATGAGCACTCCACGGATGCTCATTCTCTGCATTTTAACCAGCTGCATTAACCACCAACAACTGCACAAAGAAACTTCTCGGATGGTGTCTGGGAGCTTCACTCATCTATGGATGTGGAGAGATATGGATCTGGAGGGTAATTTAATACTACACTCACTTAAAATAATAATAGGACCACTCCTGGGGCCTGTGAGCTCCTACCCACAGATTCTTAGTCAATAATACTAGGCATGTGTTTCCTCTTGTGGAACAGGACTTAAATTCGATCAGAAAGGAGTTGGTTTCCCCCTTACCATTCCTGCCATTATTGCAGACACAGGCTTATCTTGCCTCACTGGTCATTACTGTAGTTCATAGGGTTCACAGCTGGGTAAGATGTTAAATGTATTTTTAACTGAATAACTTAGAAAACATAGTATACTTCTTTTGTAATGCAAATTTTGATAAGCTGTGTATACACACCTATGTTTCCACAATGTTAGGATTAGTCTAAAAGTAGCATCAAAGACAGAAATAGGGAACAGGTACTCTTCAAACTAAAAAAGTGCTAGAGGAAAATACACCCACAGGCTCTCTGCTGCATAGCTTCACATTGCAGACAGAGACATGTTCCTTGATTATTATGATAATTCGATACATATTTTAGGTATGAATATTGGATTAATATTTACTTATCCCAATAAACTTTGCTTAAATTTCACTTTTATTCTACTATGGTATGGTGGTTTGAATGAGAATGGCCCCCATAGGCTCATAGGCTCAATCATTTGAATGATTGGTCCCTAGTTGGTGGAACTGTTTGGGAAGGATTAGGAGGTGTGGCCTTGTTGGAGGAGGTGTGTCATGGGGAAGAGGGTAGGCTCTGAGAATATAAAAGCCCACGCCATTCCCAGTTGTCTCTCTCTGCCTTCTGCTTGTGGACCAATATGTAAGCTCTCAGCTACTGCTCCAGCACTATACCTGCCTGCCTGCTGCCATGCTCCCTGTCTGGATGCTCATGGACTCTAACTCTCTAGAATCATGAGGTCCAAATTAAACGCTTTCCCTTATAAGTTGTTTTGGTATGGTGTTTTGTCGCAGCATTGAAAAAATTAACTAAGATGTGTCACTAAACCACTTCTGATAGAATTTCCCTGTCACTGGTATCTCTAGGCCATTGTTTTGACTCCCAGTGGCTTTCAAGTAGTCACCATCTCTTTGGCTTTTACCAAAGTTTTACAATATTCACTACAAGCCAGGTATGGTGGCACACACTTTTAACTCCAGCACTGGGAAAGCAGAGGCAGGAGGATCTCTGAGAGTTTGAGGCCAGCCTGGTTTTATAGTGAGCTCTAGGACATCCATGACTACATAGAGCAATGGTTCTCAATCTTCCTAATGCTACAACCCTTTAATACAGTTCCTCATGTTGTAGTGACCCCAACCAGAAAATTATTTTTGCTGCTACTTTATAACTGTAATTTTGCTACCATTATGAGTTGTAATACAAATATCTGATTGCAGGGTATTTGATATGTGACCCATGAAAGTGTTGTTCAAACCAAAGGGGTTGTGAGCCACAGGTTGAGAACTGCTGATATAAAAGACCCTGTCTCAAAAACAAAAAACAAAACAACTCAACTACACAAAATTGCATAAGAAAGTTTTCTCTGACAAACTCTCCACATAAAAATAATAGGAAGGTACTGCATAACTTGGGATAAATAATGAAAAAGCTGAATTTAGAACAAAAAATTAATCTAATAAAGTAGCATTTTACCTTAGCATTCTCTTTTTCTGTAGGCTCAGAATCATTAGCACCAGGTTCCTTGGAAACCCTTCAGAGTGAAAACATACAATAAGATATGAGTTTGGCTCTTTGAAAAATCCTGGAGCATGATCAACTCTGTACATTAAATATATTTTTATTTGTATACTTCAAAGTTAATTTTTGTTTTTAAAAAAAGCAAAGCTTTTAGTTACTTCCTCTGCCTCCGCTTTCCTCACCAAAGAGCGACAGATAGCCAAAACATTCTCAGGGGTTAAGAATGATTAGACACTGTGTAGGCAAAATTCCTCTCTCCAAAGCTGAACTAAAAAATCATTTACTGGTTCGCATGATTTTTGCTACATGAAGTGAGTGATTCTAACATGATAATAGGAAGCAAGGTGGAGAGATACATGGCCTCATCTTCATTGTCTATCACTGATTAAGCAGTAAGCTATGCAATTAAAGATAGCAATGTTGGTTCTCAAGCATAGGAACAACATATTTGAAAGACTCCATTGCTCCTCTTTAGCCCTAAATAACATAGGACATTCCTAAGACTAAAGTATTGGAAAACTGTGCTGGCTGGTTTGATGTCAACTTGACACAAGATAGGATCATCAAAGAGGAGGGAGCCTCAACCAAGAAAATGCCTCTATGAGATCGGGCTTTTAGCAAGCTGGTAGGGTATTTTCTTGATCCAGTCCATCCTTGGTGTTGCCATCATCCTTGGGCTCGCGGTCCTGGGACCTATAAGAAAACAGGCTGGGAAAGCCATGAGGAGCAAGCCAGTTAGCAGCACCTCTCCATGGCCTCTGCATCAGCTCCTGCCTCCAGGTTCCTGCCCTGCTTGAGTTCCTCCTGTTCTGACTTCCTTCAGTGATGAACAGTGATGTGCAAGTATAAGCGAAATAGTCTTTCCTCCCCAGTTTGCTTTTGGTCATGGTGTTTCATCCCAGCTACAGTAACCTTAACTAGGTCAGCCATCATTTATAGCTATAACTTGAGTTCCTATTACAGATTCTTTTCTCACAACTGTCTGAAATGACCTGACTAAGCAAGTGTGTGATACACTGTTTTACACCGTGATACACGGATACCTGACTAAGCAAGTGTGTGATACACTGTTTACACTGTGATACATGGATACTAACTTCTGTACTCCTAAAATCAGAATATTATTTGCATTGATTTGGAAATGAAATGTGCCATTTAATTTGAGCCCACATGTGGAGCATAAAACTTGCCTTCCCTTTACATCTTGAGCTAGCTTTCTTAGAATTCTCTTTCGAGTAATGTTCAACAGCATATATATATGGATCCTTACTCAGTCTTTGGAAAGTTTAACCAGAGCTGCAACTGCAGATGAGCCAGCTCTGGGCTTTCAAGACTGGAAAATACGCATTGAGACCCAAATAGTCATTTATATGGAGCTTGGATCTATGGCAGGCCAGAAACAAACCCATGACCCGAGGGGCTGTGGGTGCCCTGGGAGGCCATGGGCAGGGAGGGGAAGTTGATCTCAAGGACATTACTCACAAGCCTATAGTGAGTTCAGACAGAGGGAGCCAAAAAGTGAGAGAAAATCATTGGAGTGCTTTCTCTGTGTCATTCCAGGTCCAATGGGACCCTCTTGTGTGGGCGAGAAGGGGAAGGTGAGAAAAATAATGAGGTATGCAGCTGTTTTGCCTGCTCCATGGTGACCGTGTACCTCTTTCTAAAAGAAGATGGAGAAACAAAGATGTCTGCCAGGCCCCGGGCTAGGGTGAAGTGTTTGTTTTTGGAACTTTAGTTTATTCATTTTTTTATTTTCTTCATTCCCTCCCTCCCTCTGTCTCACCCACCATCACTGGATTCCTTCCTTCTCTCATCCCTCCCTCCCTGTTTTCTTTCCTTCTTTTTCATTCCTCCCTCTGTCCCTCCCTCTCTCCCCCTCCCTCCCTCCCTCCCTCCCTCCCTCTCCCCCTCATTTCCTCCCTTCCCTCCTTCCTGCAGTGCTGGGGTAGATTGCAGGTACTTTCTAATATAATGCCAATGTTCTACCAATGATCCATACTCCAGCCCTGGGATTTTTCAGATAGGATCTGGCTATGTAGATCAGGCTGGCCTTAAATTCATGATTGTTCCCCACTCCAGAGTGCTGGGGTTACAGGCATGTGTCACCATGCCTGCTGCACAGCTGTAGTTTTCCAGGATGGAGGAAGATGAATCAAGCAGATGTGCAGGCCTTATGTGCTGTTAGAAGGTGCAGAAGACTCACAAACTAAAGGTGACACCCACAGGCTGCTGGGAACTAGTTAATGTTAGCAGGATAGAGCCCTGAGCACATGAGTGAGACCAGACAGACACCACCTCCCATCAGCCACCTGGGCCTCTGTGTAGACACAAGGGAAATGACTCAGCAGTTTTCCTAACACTTTCTCGTGTTAGTAGGGTGAGAAGGTGGAGGGTGACAGTTTATAGATCCTCTATAGTAGAAGACCTGTCAAAGAGGAGGGTGGGGTGCTGGCCCTCTGTCCTCTCTCTTTACCCCTAACTTACTATTATACAAGGAACCCCAAACCATGGAGTCAACCAACAGAGAAAAGTCACCGAATACATAGAATTCCACTTTACCACGAGTAAGTCATCTACAGCATGACTTACTAAAGCAAACTTCATGAAGTTTAAACACACTTCAAATTGAAAACCCCAGTGCTGGAATGGGTCTGAGGTCTCAAGAATGTGACCACATGGTCCAAAGGATTTTGGCAAGGCAAATGGTTTTCTTCCCGTGGAAGTCGGCTTTGCTTTGCTGGGTAAGGCCGGCAAGCGTGCCCACGGAGTCCTGCTGGGTTTTAGTCCTGAGGCATCCCATGTCTCACTGAGTGGTCAGGGCTCAGGCTCATGTTTCTACACAGTGGGATAATTCACAGCTTTGCAGCAGATAAGGAAACAGAGATTGTGAGTGCAGGTGGAAACCTCCATCGCATGGCTTGATCTTAGGAAAACGCTGACTGGGGAGGGAGATTTTCAAGATGGCATCTTTATACAAATTTCTTTACAGGAACTTTTCTCACTTAATGCTTTGATAGGGAAGACAGTACATTTAGTTTACATTTTCCACACCAGTAAGAGTCTAAAAGATGTAGGAAATACGGGAAAGACTAGGGAAGGTGTACCGGGGACCTAAACAACACGTGTGGTAGCACACAGCAAGTTTGCTCTTGCGGGAGAGATCGTAACAGAAGTTAAGTATAACAAATATTAGGAGTTAGAATAAGCCTTTAGTGTATTCATCAAAAATACAGCAATATAAAAATACTAACAACAGTCCTTAATTCTAGATTATTCCAATGTGAGTGGCGGAAAGAAGCCAGTGCACTTCCCACTGACCCCTCTCCAAGGCTGCTGAACTACTGACTGGACATCCACTGTGTATGGAGAGACTGAAGTGGGCCACTTCCCCCAGTCGGCAGCCATTCCTCGCCACCTCTGTGTCTGACCTAATATCTTTGTGACTCTGAAGTGACACCATTGGAATGTAACTTAGCCAGCCACTGCCTTCCACCAACCCAAAAGACAAGATGTCCTCAGACTGCACCCCAGATAGCAGGGCTCTCGCTTGGTGGTAACCCACCCAGCTTCTGATCTGTTAGGGCATTCAAAAAAATGCCTCAATTTATGACTTTCTTCATTCTGCTACTACAAAATTTTCATGAAACTGCTGTGTTGTGGAATATTTAATTATGCAAAGATGTATTACATTTGTTTATGCTGTAGAATATTACATTAACTGTATAAAGATATGTTACTTTTGTTTATGCTGCATTTGTTTAATTATGTAAAGATGTGTTGTATCTGTTTCACCTTGCCTGCCTAAGTCACCTGATTGGTCTAATAAAAAGCTGACTGGCCAATAGCTAATCAAGAGAGGGATAGATGGGGCTGGCAGGCAGAGAGAATTAGTAGGAGGAGAAATCTAGAATGAGAGAAGAAGAGAGAAGAGAATGAGGAGAAAGAGGAGGACATGCCCAGGGCAAGAAGCCAAACATGAGAAGCAGTGAAAGGAAGATATACAGAAGGAAAGGAAATAAAAAGTCCCAAGGCAAAAGGTAGATAAAGAGAAACAGGTTAATTTAAGTTAAAAGAGCTAGCAAGAAATGAGCCTAATTTAGGCTGAGCATTCATAACTAATAAGAAGTCTCTGTGTTATAATTTCGGAGCTGGTTGGTGGCCCAAAAGAAAAAGCCTGGTACACACAGGGATTAGTGTCTACTTGGTGTCCCAAAAGAAAAAGCCTGATGCACTGCTGCTACACTGGAATACTGAATTCGGGGTGACCCCTCCAAACATTACAGACTATTGCTATTATTCTTGGGTGCCCACCAGAACCTGAAGGTAAGATCCCATTGCTGAAGACACCACATACTTCTGTCACAGGACTTGGGGAAATCAAACTGGTATTGAGCAAGGCGCTTCCTCCACGATAGCCAGCTTTCCTAGTGCAAAAGGTAGTCGGCGGATGGATGGCAGGCCAAAGGTGCCAACAGCCCTGCCCAATAACAACTCTCCAGGTAAGATATGCCTGTCGGCACAGCACCTACCCTCAATATAGGCACTACTGAACACACAGGACTCTGGTGTCCGTCAGTCCTAACCCTTCCATACCCCAGATGGACGTGGAAGGACTTGTGCAAACAGGTGCAGCTGAGGAGACACCTGCTCCAGCACAGAGAACTCATTTCTGGTCTCCTACTTCCTTAGGGACCCTGGGCTGACTAGTTTTTGTCAACATGGCACAAGCTAGAGACTCATCTGCAAAGAGGGAATCTTTTTTGTTGTTGTTGTTGTTTTGAGACAGGGTTTCTCTGTGTAGTTTTCGCTCTGTAGACCAGGCCGCCCTTGAACTCACATAGATCCGCCTGGCTCTGCTTCCCAAGTGCTGGGATTTTTTTTTTTTCTTTTTGGTTTTCCAAGACAGGGTTTCTCTGTGTAGTTTTGGTGCTTGTCCTGGATCTCACTCTGTAGACCAGGCTGGCCTTGAACTCACAAAGATTCTCCTGGCTCTGCCTCCCTCCCGAGTACTGGGATTAAAGGTGTGCGCCACCACGGCCTGGCCAAAGAGGGAATCTTAACTGAGACAATGCCTCCATAAGACTGACCTGTGGGCATGTCTGTGGGGCATTTTCTTGACTAATGATTGATGGCCCACTGTAAATGGTGCCACCCCTGAGCAGGTGGTCCTGGGAGCTATAAGAAAGCAGTTGAGCAAGCCATGAGGAGCAAGCCAGTAAGCAGCAATCTTCCATGGCCTTTGCTAGTTTCTGCCTCCAGGTACATGACCTGCTGAAGTTCCTGCCCAGACTTCCCTCAGTTAGCTGTTATCTGGAAGTGTAATTGAAATCAATCGTTTCCTCCCCAAGTTGGCTTTGGTCATGGTGTTTCATCACAGCACTAGAAACCCTAAGGCACTGTAAAACAAGATGGGGGTGATGACGGCCCAGGGCCTCAGCTGCAGAGATGCTTCTGTATTGCTGGAATTATTTGAGCAACTTTAACTCCAACTTTGGTGTATGTCACAAGTTAGATGAAGAATTCAGTACTTCTCTCCAATTCTGATTTCAAAATATTATGACATAGAGTCTTTAAGTACAAGTTAAACATGTAAAATCCTTTTGCATAAAAATGATAATTTTAATTAGAACAATCATTAGTCATAGTAATTCAATTAACAATGTGAATGAGATTGAGGTAGACACTGAACTAAATGTCAATTTATGTATTAAATAATAATCTTGGCTGTCTCATATTCCTTTTCACATTAGAGGAAACATAGTTGATGACAAGTAATATTTCCAAGATGACACACCAGCAGGTCCAGAGGCTGGCACTCAACCCCAGAGTCATGTGACTCTGAAACCTAATTCTCTGCTCTTCGACTCCCACTTGACTGGTCTTCACTGAGGAAAATTTATTCACAGAAAGCTATTGTATCCACACTTTCCAAGCCAAATGAAATGGGAACCTTCAAAATTCACTGCCAAGGAGGAGGTGAGAAATACTGACTGGAGTATGTCAATCACAATGAACGGCCATTCAGAGATCAAGTGACATGAATAACCTTCAAAGACAGTGACTCACAGCAGGGCCGTACCGGTGGGACACTCAGTCATTTCCGCCTAGTCATTTCCGGGTCATACGTCCTGCATGACCCATGACCCTGTGGCTGCTGGGGTTGCTAAAGCGCAGTGCAACCACGTGATCTATTTGCGGAGTAGCCATATGGGCCTGTGTGCGCAGGCGCAGCTTGGCCTTTAAAAGCCAGCCCAGATGTTCCCCGCCCCCTTCACATACGTGTCCTTTCAGCGGGCCTGATCACATCTATCCTCTTCTCCTCATCTTAATAAAACTCTTGTTAGTGGATTCTGTCGTGTTTTGTGACTTTTCCTCGCAGGGTAAGAGCGCCGCAAAAAACCAACACGTATGATGAAAAAAAGTATATTCAGCACCAATTGGTATTTAATGACTCAGTTTTTTATAAATATAAACGTCAATTAAATTTGGATTTAATTTATAGGAAAATGCATATTAGAAGCTGGGAGGCAAAAACAACACACACACATACACAAAACAACTTAGGCCAATGTGGAGTCGGACATAAAACTGCAAACTCTTTACAATGCAGGAAATTAATCTGAATAATTACCTTTTCTATTGACTTAGCTTTGTTTTGATAATTCGCACTATATTCTCATCACTGTGTGTTAAATTTCTCCTATAAATCTAGTATGTCCGATGCACGTGGCTCTCACCCCTTCTGATAGCCACTAAAGCTGGCTCTTCTCAGAGAAATGAATGCCTGTACCTGGCTGGCCACTCATGTGTCTGTGCATTTCCCAACAACACTGATGCCGGGTGTTTGCTTTCCTCTAGAGAAACGGACTGGGATTCCATGTCTTCCTGTATTAAAAAAGAAAAAAGTTTAACTTATTTTAAAAACACAATACTGCATGCTTTTCAGCTAAGCTTAAAGCCTTTTTAAAGCCAGCTTTACCATCCATTCGATTGGGTTGTAGACTGCTGGTTGCCTGGAGAACTTAATGGGTTCCGGCCAATCGGCTGGATACCCGATCCAGAGGTTGGATTCGGTGAACATGGGTGACTGGATCCCTGGAGTCTGCGGAGAGAGGAAGTGTGGTCTTGAGTCTGAGAGCACTGATACCCTGACACCCACCTGCCATCCCCACCGCTGCTGAGGAGCTACACTGTGTCCCAGGAAGTACAGGACACAGCCGGCTGCAGTGTCCCGACACCACAAAAGCCGAACGCAGGCGAGTGAGCCTTCTACACCACCTGGAACCACAGTCTCAGACAAACGCCCCAGACACCAAAGGTAAACTGCCGGTTTGCAGGTCTGCATCCTCAGACCTGGACACCAGCAGAAAGAACACTCTGGTCACAGAACTCTTTCTCGACCGGGAGGGTGCACTGACTTGTGATCAGGCCACGTCTCTACTTGCACATCTGGAAACAAACGAAGGGGAAGAGGAAGGCGGCCTCCCTAGTGCGAAAAAATGGCCGTAACACCACCATCTTTCACTTTGATTGCTTATTTTCATTTTAATCTTTTCTACTTTAACTTTTTAGAATTTACACATTTGGACTTTGTTTCATGTTGTGTCTTAATGACTGTGGTGGTTTGAACAGGTATGGCCCCCACAGACTCATGTGTTTGAATGCATGGCCCATAGGGAGTGGCACTATTAGGAGGTGTGGCCTTGTTGGAGTAGGTGAGGCCTTGTTGGGGGAGGTGTGTCACTGTGGGGGGCAGGCTTTGAGGTCTCAGATGCTCAAGCTAAGCTCAGTGTAGGACTCAGTCTGCTTCTGCTGCCTGCCGATCAATATATAGGACTCTCAGCTCCTTCTCCAGCACCATGTCTGTCTGCACACCACCATGTCCCACCATGATGATAACAGACTAAACCCCTGAAACTGTAAGCCAGCCCCAATTAAATGTTTCCCTTTATAAGAGTTTCCATGGTCATGGTGTCTCTTCACAGAAACAAAACCCTAAGTAAGACACTAGCCATCCTAAACATGCTCCAGGACATCAGTGATGACCACTGAGTGCCTGGCATCCTCACTCTGTCTTGTGGGGGCGGGGAAAATGCACCCCACCACAGCTTTCCGTGGCCACGGTGGACTCCCTTGGGTGGCTGGGCAGGCACATTTTGTTCAGGTTGGCTTGGTTGGCATGTTTCCTTTTGCTTTTGCTGGCTAGTCCACTGGAGTCTCAGGTCTGCTCCTAACTGTCTGAAAACCTTGTCAGCAGGCCCTAGATTTCACCTTGGACCAGTCCTTCTCTTGGTGATAGAGCTTGGGTAATGACCCCTCCCCCCTAGAGACCTCTCTATCTGACATGTGAGAACCTGGGGGACACGCTTGGCTCTGGACCTTGGCTCCCAGTCACCACTCACAAAGGGGATCAACTCTTTCCTTTCTGACTGATATACCTCTGGGACGTCTCCTAAAGACTCCGATTCACACCCAACATTACTGGTATATCTTAGCACTCAAAAATGGTCCTTATACTCCCCTAGATAATCAAACAAAATGACAACCTTTACAGTTTTGTGGGCACATGGACCAACAGAAGGGGATACCCCTCCCTCCCTGCCCCCCTCTCCGAAAATTGCCTATGTTTCCACCTGCTTCCCCCATCCCCAGGCTTTCCCTTGTACTCTCTGTTACCCATCTCACCTACTGTTGGCCATCAAAACCTCCTCTGCATGACTGACTGATGGCTCGGTGCTCTGGGTCCACCCCTCAGCCGGTCACCAGCCCTCCAGTGTCTCCCTGCCACCCACATGCAATGCTGCTGTCACCACCACTGCCACAGCCATGCAGCTCTGGGAGTGTGATGACATTTTGTTTGTGATCTAACAAATAAAGCTTGCCTGGAGATCAGAGAGACAAAGGATCAAGCCATAGCCACCACTTCTTACCTCGACAACTCCTCAGCCTGAAAGAGACTGAGCTCCTGTCTCCTCCCGCCTTACATTCCTCTCTCCACCCAGCCATATCACTTCCACACCCCACTCCCCTAGCACTGGGATTAAAGGCGTGAGATCCTAAGTGCTGAAATAAAGGTGTGTGCCACCACTGCCTGGCCTCTATGGCTAACTAGTGGCTTAGCTTCACACTCTGATCTTCAGGCAAGCTTTATTTGTTAGATCACAAACAAAATGTCACCACATAGGAGTCTTTCACCTCCCCTGCTGCACAGTGACAAGAATCCACTGTCAGAGCCCATGGCCACCCGAAGCTGCCTCCCTCCCCTTCCTGTTCTGAAGCCAAATTCCCCACCTTTGATAAGCCCCTCCTTACCCACCCCACAGCAGCTCTCAATCACTGGCCTTTTCAGATCCCATCTTCCACCTGCCTCCACTTCCCAACTCAGCCATTTTCCATCTCCCTGGGAACTGCAGTCCTGCTTGGCCTGCAAATGACGCTCTCTCAGCTCTCGCCTGCATCTGCCCAGCCTGCTCCTGCTCACGGCTCCCTCCTAGGAGCTGCTTGCTCCGTCCTTTCCCCTGGTGGAGCTCCTCCTGAAGCTCATACAGGACCCCCACATCTCTTACATCTTCCTCTCTTCTACACTTCCTAAAGTCTCTTATCTCTGCTCATAAACTCTTAAGGTTAAGCCTAAAACCAGACATACTAGATAGATGGTCCTCTTCACAGATCTGCTGAATATGGCATTTGAAATATTTAAACTTCCCATTATAGAGACATGCCAGCTCCTCACAAAAACCTTTTAATCTCCAGAGAACATAGGACATGATGACTATTCCACCTGAATTATGGTAGCGCTAACCACTAAAAGAAACTGCCTCATGTCTCACCTGCCAGGGTTCTGTACAAACTAAACACTTTGGGGTTGATTGCCTTACTCTTATTGGATGTAGGCTGGAGGTACATAGACAGAAAACACTTCAGGATGTATGCCTGCCCCTGAGTGGACCTAGTGGGAAATACTTAAGCCCCTGCAAACTATGACTTGGGGACATTTTCTGAGAAACCAGAGATGGACCTGGCCAGAGAGTCCATCCACCTGGCCAGTATTTAATTAAACTTTGCGTCAACTTTGACTTTAAACTGTGGTAGTGGTTTTATTCTTGACTGGTGGCATTAACATTTTCTGGAGGCCCCAGCAAGATGCAGACTGCCCATCCAAATCCTAAAGCTGGACCTTCACTCTGTAACTCCAGGGCTGAGGGACCACTTCAGGGGGCACATGCCTCGCGATGTCCCAAGGCTCAAAGGCTGCCATACTGAGAAATGCATCAAGGATCTACAGAGACATCCTGGTTAGTCATAGTCTGGTTCTGTTTGTGGGATCCTTATCTGAGATGTGGAGGGGGTTTGACAGGACCCCAATATTCTCCCATCCAGAGCAAATAGTGAGATGTCACTTGCCCACCTGGTTCTGGTTGGTTGGAAAGTTCTGTCTGTTTCCTATGGAAAGTTTTGTCTCTCTTGTTGCAGAGTTTTGTCTGTTTCTCAAGGAAGTTGTATCCGCCTGCTTTCTTGGAAAGTTTCGTCTTCTGTTTTCTGGTGTGTCTGTAAGTGTTGTTTAAACGTGGTGTTGAGACAGAAATGGGTCAGATATTTTTGCTGTCTCTGTGGCCACCAGCCACCAGCCACCAGCCACCAGCCACCAGCCACCACTGCTGCCATGGCTGCTTCTATGGCCAAGGCTCAGAATTTATCTCTGAGCTCTCTGGTCACTGGATTTGGGTTAGCAGGAGTTCAGATGCCTTTTTTGGTGTGGATAACTTTAAAGTTGTTTTTTGCTGCTCTTCTTTATTGGAAAGCTGGCTCTAGAGTTGGGTTATGGCTCTCCCTTGTCTAGACCCAAGCATATTTAAAAGTTTCCTCTATGTCCTGTGTCTGTAGATCTACCTGACACTGTGACAAGGAAAAGAAAGCAAATGAACAGCCAAAAAAATTAGACCTGGTTTATGTGAACATTCTGTACCTCAAGATTTATAAGTCTTTTTTTCAGAAAAATCAATAAAACTAGAAATTATTACTTTAAGCAATGCAATCCAGAGTAAGAAATTACTTCATGCTTCTCTGCATGTAGTCTTAGATCTTAATTTATATATAATATATAATGTTAATTGCATTTAACAGGAATCCAAGGAATATTCATGCATGTGTGTCTGCATCTCTGTGTGTGTCTGTGTAGTGCGTATGTTGAACAGGAAGATAAATCATATCAGAAAGGACCAATGATGGGGGTGGGGAAAGAGTTCATAAAGATGATTATGGGTAGGAAACTCATAAAACAGTCCAACAAGCCGGGCAGTGGTGGCAAACGCCTTTAATCCCAGCACTTGGGAGGCAGAGACAGGCAGATCTCTGTGAGTTCAAGGCCAGCCTGGGCTACCGAGTGAGTTCCAGGAAAAGGCGCAAAGCTACACAGAGAGACCCTGTCTTGAAAAACCAAAAAGAAAAAACAAAAACCAGTCCAACAAAATCCCTATGAAATTGGAGCAGCAGGTGACCAGGTGGGGGAGGGGGAAGAGCTCCAGTTAGTGGGAAAGACGACCAAAGGCCAAACTAGTTCAATGAGAATGTCCCATAGTCTCTGAACACATGGTCCCCAGTAGGTGGCTCTTTGGACAGGTTTGGGTCACTGAGCTGGGCTCTGAGATGTAAAAGTCCCCACCACTTCCAGTTGGCTCCCCTCCCCCCACACACACTTTGTGCCGTGGTTCAAGAAGTGAGGCGCCATGCCAGTGCCTGCCGCTTGCGCCTCAGCTCCACCATAATGGACTCATCTCTCTGGCACCTTAAGCCAAAATAAACTCTACCCCCTTAATCTGTCTTTGGCCATGGAGTTTTATCACAACAACAGAAAACTAGTATGAAAGTACACATGACAATCCTACAAGAAAATGCATTGGCTTGTGTACTAATATAAAAAAAAAAAAAACCAACTTAGAAAACAAAACATTTCTCACTATAAAGACCCTGTGCCTATAAACAAGTCATGCACAGAGGGAATAACTGAGAGTTGGAGTTCTTCCTTCTCCTCACTGTCCTCTCCACCCCACTGCCCCTTGGGCTGCACTGCCCTCTCCATATCTCCCACCATGTTTACTGGTT